AAATTTGTATGTATGTGTAGTTTTTTTTTTTTTTTTTGGAGATATGTAAATTGGAATTTTATGTTGGAAAATACTGTGAGTGTTTCCAAATGTGCGGTCCAAATGGAGAGTTTTGATTGAATTGTAGTGAATGAGTGAAATATTGAGTAGAGTAGTGTAGTAAGAGTCTTGACTATTGAATCTGAATCTAAAATTATTTGATTAGATTCCTGACATTGTAAATAAATTTTCGGATCTATATTGCTTTAAGAAACAAAAATTACAAATGAGCTGTAAATTTTGGATATATTAGTTTCTAATTAAGTGTGTGATTAGTATGTGAGAGATTTAGAATTTTTTTCTTGTACCAAGTTTAAAAATATTATTACATCATTTGTTTTCTAATTAGAATGAAACCCTTTGTATTTTGAATTTGATATTGTATGACCGAAAATATATTGTTTTATTTTTCGTAAGAGTACGCGGAAAAATATTTTTATATATATGGTTCTTCAAACCAAAATTTGTAATCTTTTTATTCACGTAAAAACAAGTCTTTATATAATTTATCTATCTAAAAATATCCTTGTAGAATAGAAGTTTTAGCTTTCAAGAGTTTAATAAAACTCGAGAGCATAGCAAAATAATTCTATCTTTGTGGGGGAAAGTATATGGAAAACTAAACCACAAATCAAACCTAGAATATTGTATAACAACTGGCGTCTGGCTAGTTAGATTATTGTATCGATTCTTGTATGGTCTAAAAGATTTCTATACTTAATATGAAAAACAAAAAAAAACTATATCGGATAACGTTCCATATTATATTTCTTCGAAATTGCATAAGCCACAAGTTTTATAGGCAATCATCAACAAAAATACAATAAGGGGTCATTGGAAAATGCGAGAACAGAAGTTGATTAGGCTTAGTTTGTGTTTTCCACCTCAAGTTGATAGAGAAACAAGTATTGGCTGCGGTTTTAGTCGTTTATATGTAATAAAAACATGTATGGTCTCATCATCATGTGGGGGCTGCAGGCTCCCTCACTTGCACTTGCACTTGTGCTTTCGTTTTTTATACATTTTCTCTGGCTTCCATTTTTTCTCTCAAATAATCATAGCCACATACATGATTATAACACAACATCTAACCCCATTATGTGTCAAGTTAAAGAAAACTCAATCTTGAAACTTGAAAGAGATTGAATCATGCAACTCTTTGCCACTTCAATCCAATATGTTGGGCCTGTGATGAAACTGTTATTCTTTTCAAAGTTGGGCCTAAGATTCAATATTTTATCATTAAGGACTAGTAAGGACGTTGGCTTGTTGTTGTTCATCCTACTCAAGAGATCAGAACAGAGCCATTAAACTTCAAATCATTATGGAATGCTTTAACAAACTGAAAATGTAAGTGTATGTGGTATAGAATTCACACATGCAATTTTTAACGTGGACCTCGATGAAGAAGAAGAGCGAAGATGGATTCAATCCTTTCTCTTTTGGAACTAGATGACAATGTGTATAAATCAACCAGTTAGTTTTATCTTCACGAGCACATTTCCCTTTTGAATAGGAATACTGAAACTTGAAAGTATGAACAACACAATGATGAGACGAGGCATGAATCATGAAAATTTAATTACAAAGACAATGAAAATTAGTTCTGTAAACATTCATCCAATGCCCTTACAAAAACAATGACCGATATATTGTACACAAAAATGTACAACAACATATGAAATTCAGAACACACAAGTATCTAATAAACGACTCAAATCTCCATACAAAAATTAGACTATCCATTATTTTGCAATTCTTTAATTTTTCAAGTATGTATATAACCAGTCAACCAACTAGTTTCGTGTTCCATAATCATTTTATCAAAATGTCTTTGGGATTCTTACTGGTTAAAATGACATCGGTTGATTAGTCAGTTGTAACCATTTGAAAAGATGGTGTCGTATTGTTCAGAACTCCGAAATTTTTGTTCTTCAATGTACAATCGAGATTTTATTTAGCTTCAGTTTTATTAGAACTAATAAAAAAGTAAGCCCGAAAACCTCGATAAAAAAAAATCTTGATTATTTCATCTTTTATACCTTCAAATTTAGATTTTAAACTTCAAATCTATAAGCTAGAACAAAAGAAAAACAAAACTTCGAATCTATGCTACCATGTTAATTAATAATTTATCTTTTTTAACAAAAAAGTTTAGCCTGTTTTCATTTTTTTTTTATCACTAGTCAATTACTCATAACAAAGTTAATTATAATTATAGATTAATTAAATATTTATTAGATAAATAACTAAATTTTAAAAAAGTGAAAGAAAAGTTGGAAAAAAAAAGTGAAAGAAATGGTGATTAATAGAAACAGTTTTTCACGGATGATTTTTACAAATAATGGAGGTAAAAATACATGGGGTTTAAACAATTTAATAGACAAAATATACATGAAATATAGAAAAATACAATTCATTTTGCACTCACTTAAGGTATTTTCCATATTCCTTTTTTTATTACCAACTAGGTAATGTCCCGCGCATATGCGCGGGTTGTTCTATATTTATTCAATTATTTTAATTTATTTATTATTTATAAAAATAGATTAAATAAATTTTAATGCTTATGACATTTTTACATGTTATTTATTTAAATCATACAATAGAAGCATACATCCATATCTTTTGAATTTATTCGTTAATTAATTGTTCATTTTAATCAATTTTGATAGTAATTTTCTTTAGTACTTTTCAGTATTTTTTGATAAAACAATAATATTGTTAATGATAAAAATAGAAATGATATTGGGAGAATTTTAAAAATACCCCTTTAAAAATACCACTTTTTAAATTTACCCCATTTTCAAACTTTATCAAAACAACCAATAAAAATATTGAAATTTATCCAAATATGTGTGTAAACTTATAAATATACACAAAATTACCTTTATTTGTGTGTAAAATTTTATTTATTTCAATGTCTTACAAATTGGTTTGAATATAACAAAAAAATATTTTGTTAAAATAATTACATACTTTAAAAATAAAATAAATATACATGAATATGTGAGAAAGAAAAAACATATAAAGTAAAACAATGAAAATGGTTTATTTAGCTTGATTTTCTTATGGTGCGATGGTCAGAAATCAATATTTTTGAATTCCATCGATAAAGTAATTTCCTTATAGCCATAAAATATTATTATACATATGTTTTATACATTTAATAGTATAAAAACAATGAAAAATGAAGAAGAAATATAATTGAAAAGAAAAGTTTTAACCATAATCAAGCTCTTACAATGATATCTTAATTGAGCTTTCAACCCATGCAAGAACGTTAAAAATTAAACGAAGAAAATATTGAGAATATCATATATGGTGGAGGAGGATGTAAAAATGAGTATTTATAGGATAAAATATGATGTAAGTTACAATTCTAAAATAATTAAATCAGAGGAGTTATAATTATATTTTATAGTGTGTTAATTGAAGTTAAATGGAGGAAACAAATAGTCAATTGAAAGGTTATATAATTTAAGTTACAATTTAATAGTAAAGTGTGGATTTCAAGTATGAATTAAAGTATATGACTAAATGTGTTAGATATTTGGTTTAATTAAAAATAAATATTATAATTAAAAAATAAATGCTAAATGGACCAATAAGGAGAGAGTGAAATCTTAAAAATTCCCAAGAAATAATATTATTTTTAATCTCTTTTTATATTCCTTTTAATTTAAGTTATATTTCTAGGTTTAATTATATTTTTCATCCTTGTAGTATATATAATAGATAGAAAATGGAATATCAAATTGTTTTTTAGATAGGAAATCAAGTATAAAATTCAAAGTTAAAACAAATTATAATGTTCTTTGTATTATTACATGTTGAATCACAAACTAAATATAAGGATCATTATTCTTAAAAGAATGTCTTACAAATTGGTTTGATAATTATATAACAAAAAGTTTATTTTGTTACAAAATTACATACTTTTGAAAATAAATTAAATATACATGAATATGTGAGAAAGAAACAAACATCCAAAGTAAAAGAATGAAGATGGTTTCTTTAGCTTGATTTTCTTATAACCATAAAATATTATTATACATATGTATTACATTTAAAAATATACAAAACAATGAAGACATAAAGAAATACATAAAAACAAAAAATAAATAAAATTGAAAACAAAAGTTTAAACTAAATAATTAATCAAACTCTTACAATGATATTTTAAATGAGTTTTCACCCCATGCAATAACTTTAAAAAAAAACAAAGAGAATAATGAAGATATGAGATATGGTAAAGAAGGATGTGAGAATGGCTATTTATATGATAAGAAGTGATGTAAGTTACATTTTTAAAATAATTAAATTAGAGGAGTTATAATTATAATTTATAGTGTGTTTAATTGGAATTCAATAAAGAAAAACAATAGTCTTTGGAAATTTATATAATTTTCAGTTTCATTTTAGTAGTAAAGTGTGAATTTAAAGTATGAATTAATGTATATGATTAAATGTGTTTTTTTGGTTAAAAATAAATATTATATTTTAAAAAATAAATACAAAATAGAACAATAAAGAGAGTGGAACCTTACGTTTATATATACGATTTTAAATAATTTTCCACCAGTAAGGCTTATAAAATTTGTTGTATGATATATGATTAAGTCCTTTTATTTTCTTTGCCATTTGATTATAACTTATAGTGTAATTAAATTTTGTATTGAATGATTGTCATAAACATTTATTTATTTATTTATTTTGTTGAATGATATATGATTAAGTCCTTTCATTTTCTTTGCCATTTGATTATAACTTATAGTGTAATTAAATTTTGTATTGAATGATTGTCATAAACATTTATTTATTATTTAAAAAAAACAATTAAAGCCTTAAATATTTTTCCACCAATAAGGAGAGAGTGGAACCTTACTTTTATATATATGATTTGAGTCGTTAATTTAGTCATCTAATTAATTAACTAATTAATTATCTAAATTAAGGTATACAAAAAATTAAATCTTTCACCTTCCCCGTAGCCACTGAGTAAATGAAATCTCTCTCTCTCTGACTGAGACAAAGTCGCCGACTGTGTAAAATGATGAGTCATGGTGGTGGCGGCGGCAGCGGAGGTAACGGAGGAGGAGGAGACGCTGACCGTATGCTAGCTCAAGCAGAGAAGCTACTCTTAAGCGGAGATTTAAACGGTTCAAAAACCTATGCGATCCGCGCATGCGAAGCCGATCACTCACTCGTAGACCACGCCGAACTAATCCTCGCCGTAGCCGATACTCTAATCGCCGGAGAATCACGAATCAGAGGAACGACCTCCGAACTTCCCGACTGGTACGCCGTGCTCCGTCTCGTTCGTTTAACTCACAACCCGGAACTCGTCGCCACTCAGTATAGTAGACTCGCTGTGTTGCTTAACCCGAGTCGGAATCGGTTCCCATATTCTGAGCAAGCTTATAGGTTGATCTCTGATGCTTGGTATGTCCTCTCTGATCCTTCTAGAAAGGCATTGTATGATAGAGAATTGCATCTGAGTCAGTTTGGGCAATTAGGCCAATTAGGGTTTCAGCTTTTCAATCAATCTTCTCAGTCTCCTCAACATCAACCGCAGCAGCAGCAGCATCAATCTCAATCGCCTCAGGAGCAGAATCAAACGCAGTCGTTTCAGAACCAGCAGTTACCATTTCAGCTTCATCAACCACATTTTGCTCAAGCTGTTCAGACTCAGTCTCAGTCTCAGTCTCAGTTACAGCAGCAGCAAAGGTCTCAATTTGATCAGCAGTTATTGCAGGAGCAACAACAAGCATCTTGGAGGCAACAGTTTGGTCAAGAGCAAAGTAGTGGTTCGAGTAGTGATTGGAAAAGACCTGTGCAGGAAGAGAGATTGATTAATTTGAACAATGCAACTGATAGGGTCCAATCTAGTCGTCGTTTCGCTGAGCCGGATCAGCTGCCTAGTAGATCTTTCGAGGGATCGTCTCATAGGACTCCTTCGACTGATTTGACATGGGCATCTAAGCCTACTCCAACGTCTGAGTTTGTACACCATTCTGATTCTGTGGCGTGGCAATCCTCTGAGCCGGCTAGGCAATATCAGTCATCTAGTAGGTCTAGTGAAGCTGCTCAACTCTCGCTGCTGCCTTCTGTTTCAGACTCACCTCATGCATCTCAGCCAACTCGCTCTATTCATTCAAATGCAGTATCTAAACCGAAGCAAGTTTCTAAGCCACAACCGCCATTCCCAATGTCTCAGCCTCCATTAACCTCTAAGCCATTCCCATTGTCTCAGCCACCACCAACCTCTAAGCCATTGCCTATGTCTCAGTCACCACAGACCTCTAATCCATTCCCTGTGTCTCATTTATCACAAAAATCTAAGCCTTTGCTGGTTTCTCAGTCATCACAAAAGTCTAAGCTGTTGCCGGTCTCTCAGTCATCACAAAACTCTAACAAATTCCCGGTGTCTCAGTCATCGTCAAAGTCTATGCAATTCCCTGTGTCTCAGCCACTACCAACCTCTAACCCATTCCCGCGGTCCCAGCCAACACCAAACACTAAGCCAATCTCGATGTCTCAACCATTATCGACTGCTAGACTTTTTCAAGCATCTCAGTCACCACCGGCCTCTAAACAATTTCCTACATCTCAGCCTCCTCCGACCTCCAAGGCATTCCCGGTATCTCAGCCACCACCAGCCTCTAAGCCATTCTCTATGTCTCAGCCACCACCGGCCTCTAAACAATTTCCTACATCTCAGCCTCCTCCGACCTCCAAGGCATTCCCGGTATCTCAGCCACCACCAGCCTCTAAGCCATTCTCTATGTCTCAGCCATCACCGGCCTCAAAGCCCTTTCCAATATCAGAGCCATCCAATACCTCTAAGCCAATGCCAGTATCTCAGCCACCCGCAACTTCTAAGCCGTTGCCAGTGTCTCAACCATCTCAGCCACCTGCAGCCTCTAGTTCTCTCTCTCCACTGCCTCCTGTCTTCAATTCAAATCAATCATTCCAGCCACCTCCAGTCTCTACTACGCCCTCTCCGGTTCCAGCAGGCTTTACTATTCCATCTCCGCCACCGCCTGCGCCAGTCTCTCAGCCAGCTCGGGTTTTTAACCAAACCCCACCTACTGAACAGACTCCAGAGAGCGGGGGTGCAAGACCCGATTCCGAGCCAGAGGTTCCGAGTTTCTGGACGACTTGTCCATACTGCTACGTACTTTATGAGTATCCCGTCATTTACGAGGAAAGTGTGCTTAAATGCCAAACTAAGAGCTGCAGGAGAGCTTACCAAGCGGTGAAGGTTCCTTCTCCACCACCAGTTACCGAAGAAGATAGCTACTATTGCTGTTGGGGTTTCTATCCAGTAGGATTCTCAGAAGTTACTAAAATCCCAGTCGGTGGTTTCCAGTCAAAAATTCCAGTCGGCGGTTTCCCCAAATCAGCACCCAAAAAACCATCTCCAAAGGTATATTATTATGACGATGATGAAAATGATGACGATTCATACATAGAATCAGATCTTAGTGAGGACGACGACGACGATGATGACTGGCTGATGAATGGATCAAAAAGGAAGAACAATGGGAAGCAAAGTAAAGCTAAAGCTCCAACCAAAATAAAACGTCCAAAAGCAATTGAGGTTGATTGAGTAAAAATCAGATAGGGAACAGAAAGAGCACAACTTCAGTAAGGATTTCTCTGTTCTTGGCTCTGTTGTTGACTTGTTGTAGTAGACTAGTAGTATGTAGTGTAGGGTAAAATTTGCTTTCTTCCACGGTTTCCATGTTCTGTCTAAGCTGCAGTAGAATCGCTGGGTTAAGCTTAGAAGCAACGGTTGTAATTTGTAATGTTTTGGTGCCTCTTTTTGGATTAACGTAGTTCCTTTTCTGGAGAAGGCGAGGAGAATCATTTTGGTCAGTTAGGATTTTGCAAAATTTAGTCTCTCGTTGTTTTGTTCACTTTCCTCTTGTTTACTAGCATTAGAGCAACACCTAGTAGGTATTAATGTTGGTATAATATAGCCCACTGGATCCACAGCTGAGCCCAATTAAAAATGGGCTATACAGTAGTGCAACAACAAAATATCGTATTAAACCGGTTTATTATAAGATGTGATCATGTGAACCCAAATCTAATTATAAAACCATTAATCTTAATGATCATAATCATTAATTCGTCATCACCTACAAATCAGTGATTCTGTAGGTGCACGAAAGATCCAAATGAACCAGTATTAGATAAATATTTATCATAAAAACCATATAAGCATATCACTAATTCGGCATCACTTACAAAACAAATCTATGATTCAGTAGGTGCATGAAAAACTAAAAGGACCCCATTTACCAAAAATGTCAGACCTAATCAATGAATGACCACATTTAATATATTAATTACTTCACTAACAATTATTGCAAAAACCATTCATTCAATGGCTGTTTCAGTGTCCACGTTATCCATCTGCAATTTACATTCCTTAATTATTGCGTGTCACTAGTACTAATCTAATTACGCAAATCTTTCTTAATCTCCCTTTGATCACACTCACACTACTATAATAAACTTTTTTTTTACAAAAGTTTGTTTTGTTTACTTTAACAATTCAACCAAACTGTCACGTTAATTTTATAAACCTGCCGACTTAATTTTAGTTATATAATCATGTTTAATCAAGTTTTTTTTTTAAATTAGAGTATATACACTCCTAAATTCAACATGTACAATAAATACATGTCAATCTTCTTATATATTCATTCAATTAGCTGTGGGGAAAAAAAATCTACTACAAGCAAATGACATAACTATTCCAAATAAATGTGGAAGAGATGATGATAATGATCATCTAATAATTGACACAATTCAACACATGTTCGGTCTTTAAATATCTTCTTAGGTCTCTCTTCGTTCAAAACACACAGTAAATGTTTGGTCCATCCGGTCCAGGCTACACGCCACGATCGAGCTGCTTAAGACAAGAGAGCTGTAAAGTACTTTTTAATTTTTTCCGACCAAAAGAAAAGAGAAAGTATGTTCATTCAAGTGATGAGTCAGTCAAAATAACTCTCTTTAAGATGAACTCATCAGTGACGAAATTTATAATATGTATGTCGACATTTTCTACAAATATACATATATGTTAGCTTAGAATTACGTTTCAAATCTATACGTTGAATTTTAAGGTATATTGCTTTTAGCAGAAATTTATAATTAGTGAAGCAATTATCTTGTAAATATATTTATATATGAATTAATCATATAAATTTTGCATACTTTTTACACGTAAAATATATCGTAATATGATTTTTTTTTTTAAACGTAAAACATCTCTAGTAATATTTCTTTCTTAAACGTAGAACTTATCTGTTTTAGTTGTTGTTTTCAATTGTTTCATACAGTTTAAGAAGATGGATAAATGTTTATTATACCTTTGTTTGACTATTAGACTTTCAAATTATTTATTATTTTATATATTTAACAAAAGGAAAATGAGGTAATTTTTCTACTAAAAATGACATTAAAAACAAAAAAAAGACAGCTAAACTGAAACAAAAATTAAGCCTAGAAAGATAAATATACATATATGTTAGCTTAGAATTACGTTTCAAATCTATACGTTGAATTTAAGTATATTGCTTTTAGCAGAAATTTATAATTAGTGAAGCAATTATCTTGTAAATATATCTATATATAAATCAATTATCTAGATTTTGCATATTTTGTATATGTAAAATATATTAACTTGTTTGACTATTAAAATTTATATTTATTTATTTAATAAAAGGTAAATAAGATAATTTTCTATTAAAATGATATTAACAACGACAAAAAGGAAAACAAAATTAAAACAAAAAGATTAAGTCTAGAAGGAAATATATTTAGTGAGTATTTCCCAAATTATAAATAGTAAATGTACTAATTCTCTTATAAAAATTTCAAGAACTGTCTATTTTTTTAACTTATTCTTTCTTTTATCTGAATTATGAATTATTGTGAAATAGAAATTAATTCGATTTGAAAAATTTAGGTGGTGTGTAATGAAGGTGAGACGTATTATGTTCAAGCACATTTAAAACATATGTTCCCATTTCCCATTTGACGTGATTATTAAATGGCCACTAAATGCACAGTACCAAAGTTTAATTTAATAGTAGTACTAGTAATAGTATTATCATCATTAATTTAATCCCAACTACTCGTAAACTTATGGTGATTTTAGTTTCTTCGAGATCCATACACTAACCTGTCATCACATCTATGATCTGTCCAATTAAATAGGAAGACGATACAAATCTTGGGAGACATGTATAAAAAGAGACTCACACATGTCGTAAAAGTCACAAACACTAATAAAAAGATCAAAGCAAACCAAAAAAAAGTACTAGTCTTATTAGAACTCAAGTTCTTCTCTAATGGACTTTGTTCCTTCATTGTTCATGCCTGATTCAACGTCCTACGAAGATGGGTTACTATTTTCTGATTCTTTCCTTCTTTCTTCGTTCGTATCATCAAACCAAAACCATGACGTTTGCGAACCGATCACAAACAAGATTGATCATGGAATTAGCAAGAAGAAACGAAGTTTGTGCGATACATATGGCGTGATGAGTGATGAAGCCAACAAAAATGATGTTGATGATCGAGAAACCAAGAAGCTGAAACATAGAGACATTGAAAGGCAAAGAAGACAAGAAGTTTCATCTCTTTTCAAAAGTCTAAGATCTCTCTTGCCATTTCAATATATCCAGGTACCTTTATCTATCAACTTTTCAATTTGATTAGCTTAAGAACTAGTCTATAGTTTTGATCTATATACAATATTCCTTAATTACATGTTAATCAAGAAACAATGTTTTTTAAAAAAATTATGTGTTAAACGCGAGAGAGCAGATCTTTTTAATTGAAATGGAAACTATGTATGTATACAACCTTAGTTTAATATTGTAAGATTTTATTGCATTCCATTGATCATTCAAACTGATTAGTCAAAGTACACAAGTTAATCTCTAACTATAATCTTAAATCATATAATTACATGCTATTGTACATAACTACATGTGACCATACGTCCATACCAATTCATATACGTACAGGGTAAACGCTCGACATCAGATCACATCTTTCAGGCAGTGCAGTACATCAAAGACTTACAAAACAAGAACAAAGAACTCAATGAAAAAAGAAACCGGATTAAAAAATCTATACCGGGGACAAATGCTGCTACTCTTCCATCGACAGAGGAATGCACCAGTAGTTTATCATCGTCAACAACATCAACTTTATCATTAAGCTGCTCATGTGTAGGAGACAAACACTTTACAGTTGTGGTCACGCCTTGTTTGGTTGGTGTTGAGATCATTGTAAGTTGTTGTCTCAGACGAAACAAGTCTTGTCTCTCGAGTGTTCTTCAAATATTGGCTCAAGAACAAAAGCTCAGTGTAGTTAGTTGCATCTCAACTAGACTACAACAGAGATTCATGCACACCATTGTTTCTCAGGTAAAACTCATTACTAATAACATTAAGAAATATAATTTGTGAAATATAATGTCACGAACATTGGCTTTATCATAGTTTCTGATAATTTTCAGGTGGATGATACCAAGCAGATCAATATTTTGGAGCTTAGAGATAAAATAGTGAATATGTAGCCATCATACATATCATATATACATCAACAAACGGAAAAATCATGATTTGTATTTTAATGTATACTGTATTTTGTGTTGAGTGGTTTAGCTTTTAAGACCATGTTAATTATCAAGTGTTTCAGCTTAATTTTCTTGGCATCACATTAATATTCTTCATGCTTTAATATCAATATCATGTTTTATACGTTTCTAAAACAAATTTAAAATTAAGTCAGATATTTAATTGTAATTCATACATAAAATAAAATGTACGTCTGAATTATATTTTTATTTATCTATTTTATACAAACTTTTACTGGTTGTATTAACTTATAGGATAAGATATAAATTTCATTATTTAATCATCACTGGGATAAATGTTTCTGACTAATCCTTATAAAATGAATATGACCATTGAATACTCTATTTATTGAAAATTTTAATGGATATAAAGCATATAACACTTTTAAAATTTACAGATTTGGATGATACGAAAATCATAAGTACTATAAACCCCGAGGCTAGCAAAAGTTGAAAGTGTACTAACATTTGTAGTGTAGTATATAAATCATTTCGTTTCTTATATATATAATGCATATACTATGGTTGGAAAATTTAGATAAATTAGGGGGTTTATATGTTAAATTTTATAAAAATGTAAATTTAGTTATCATATTAATATCCACGTTTACTTAAGATTTCAATAATTATTTTTTGATCATGCAATGGATTTTAGGAGAATATTGGTTGTGGAGAATAGACTAATATGGTCTTTGAAAAAAAAAAAAAAAAAAAAAAAAAAGGTCTTGGTCGAATATGAGGTCCGAATATGAGAGAAGTGGCGAGCAAAACATATACGTGTACCAATAACAATCTTCTAGTGATTAATGAATGAAATTGATATGTTATCCATCTAACCTCTTTGTTATAGATTTGACTAAAAGTAACATAAAAATGAAGACATTAAAAAGTAATACAAACTAAAATAATTAAAATCTCAAAGGGAGGCGCAGACCAAAACAAACATGAACGCACGTCCATTGCTTACTTGTTCATACTCTTTCTTTCTTAGTGTCTCTCACGTTGACACCATTTTTTTTTTGCCTTACAGTTTTGGGAAAAAAAACAATTAAAGCCATTGTATTCATTATATATATGAGAACTAATGCAATAATAAGACTTGGCTTTTCAGAGAGAAAACAAATAGTAGGAGAGCCCTCAAGACGTACGATAGAGTAAGAAAATGGATCAAAATTTGTATCGCAAGTGCTTGGTTATTATATCGATGATGGCCATGATCGGAACATCAATGGCTGCTTATGCCGGAACTCCATGGCGTAGGGCCTCAGCCACTTTTTACGGTGACGATACCGCCAGCGCAACTATGGGTAATTTAAAGTTTTTATACTTGATACTTCTACAATATCTATTGTATATGGTATACAAACTATATATAGATGAATTGATTAAATATGGACGTTGCATGTTATTTAATTTGACACGGTCGTTTGTTTGCGTTTTCGTACGTAACATAAAAATGAAAACACAAAGAAACACTAAAATGTATTGTCAATATTTTAACATATACCATGATATATATACATCGATCAGGTGGGGCTTGTGGTTACGGTAATATGTGGGACAGCGGCTACGGCGTAGCCACAACTGCGCTTAGCACGGTGCTGTTCAACGACGGTTACGCTTGTGGTCAATGTTTTCAGATAAGGTGTGTATCGTCACCTAACTGCTACTACGGTTCACCAGCTACCGTGGTGACTGCGACCAACATATGTCCACCAAACTATGGCCAAGATTCAAACAATGGTGGATGGTGTAATCCGCCACGTGCCCATTTTGATTTGACTAAACCAGCTTTCATGAAGATCGCTAATTGGAAGGCTGGAATCATCCCCGTCTCATACCGCAGGTACTATATATCCACTAAGCTAGACCAATATTGATTCGTATAATAATGTGTGTGTATACTATTACAATTTCCATTTTTTTTTTCAAAACCTATAGAAATGGTTTATCAATCATAGTACATCTATATTTTTTATTTTATTTTTTTAATAATCAAAGAGGTTTTAGGCCGAAACCAATACATCTCCTCATGCCCGAAACCAAAGCATGTTATATGGTCTCGTCCCAAGCGCCTCGAAATAGTATATCTATATTCAATAATGTGTTTGTAAGATTTGTATACATGCTAGAATATGATTATATGTTGATAATTTGGTATATATGTATATACAGAGTGGCATGTAAGAAGAGCGGAGGAATAAGGTTCAAATTTGAAGGAAATGGGTATTGGCTACTTGTGTACGTGATGAACGTAGGTGGAGCAGGTGACATAAAGACCATGGCCGTGAAAGGTAGCCGAACAGGATGGATCAACATGAGCCATAATTGGGGAGCTTCGTACCAAGCTTTCTCTTCTCTATATGGTCAGTCTCTCTCCTTCCGAGTCACCTCTTACACCACTCGTCAGACCGTTTACGCTTGGAACGCTGCTCCGGCTAGCTGGAGTGCCGGTAAGACCTACCAGAGCAAGGCTAATTTCTACTGATTTAGATCATTTTCAACTCCGACAAAACCGGTTATTTGAACTTTACGGTTTTGCTACTTGTTCTTGAGGCTGATCGATCGAGAGGTTGATGTTTTTTCTAATTAATAACTCCCTTTGATTATATGGTAGTCATTAATTCTTGTATATCCATCACTGGTTGAGGAAAAATTGTTGGTTTTTGTTTTTGTGAGTTAAGTTATTTAATTTTGTTTGTTCTTTTCATTTTTATTTTAGGATCAAAATTATTGATGGGGTCATTGGCAATTTTATTTTATTTTTCGTATGAGGAATGGACTTTGCTAACTCAAGAGTTATCAATCTATATTACATGCATGGCAGCACGATTACACGATATTTTTATACACTATGTCATATTTCTAAAGAATAATTGAGTGTTAAAATTCTGATATATATCTTAATTTACATTTAGTTTTGATTAGACTTATTAAAATTAGGAATTAGTGAAAGAAAGTTGAACAAAAACATTGAAAAACGTTACTTATTTTAAAAATAGAAATAAAACTGTTTATATCGAAAGGTGGTGTACATATAAGTACATAAATATATCTTGCAATATTTTCTCTTATATAATGATTCTTTTGTCACCAATATTAATGTTTATATGTAGACGTACACTTTACTCAAAATAATCTCACGCCGCCTTTAGTTTCATACCCTCAAAAACATTATAGCATAAAAATATGCATATATATACTTTTGTTAATTTGTTGAAGATGAAACATAACTATATACAGTACATAAAAGATAATCATCAAATAAAAGTAAACCTGTCCCTTCAATCCAAAGCCTTCACCAAGCTCTAATTCTCATGATCGACTCTTCCTCTACACTTCTTCTTCTCATCCTTCTCACCAAAAACACTCAAACGTGAACAACATAATTCCACCAATATCGAAAATGGTAACAACAACAACACTACTCTATCTTCCCTCTCTTCAACTAATAATAATCGTATTAATCCTATTCCTTCCCTCTGATCTAGAGTGTTCAACTTCTACTACTACGACTCAAGAAGCTCTCAACGAATCCTCAAGGCTTCTCGATCTCATCCTAAGAGACTACACTCTTAGCTTCTTCAAGAACCAACATTACTCAATCAAGACCGGCGTTATACGGCGTGTTCATCTCCCTTCTAACTACTCCGAGATAAAACTTGACGCCGTTAGGTTCCGATGTGGGAGTCTCCGGCGATACGGAGCTCAAGTAGAAGAGTTTCATATTGGCGTTGGAGCAATTCTTGAGCCGTGTGGTGAGCGTCTTTTGGTTGTGAGACAAAGCTTGGGATCAAACTGGTCTGATATATATTACAAAAACTATGATCTCTCTGGTTATAGACTCGTGTCTCCGGTTCTAGGGCTCTTAGCTTATAACGCGTTAAACGACGTCAGTCTGGGGAATAATGTGACTAGCTCTTATCAGATAATTCTCCTCCTAGCCGATGCTAAAGAACCGTCCACCGTTGATTTCGGGAACGTATCTAGACCATCGACGGTAGAGAGAACGTTCTTGAACAAGCCAATGTGCGCTACGTTCGAGCTCGATGGGAAAGTAACGTTTGCCGGAGAAGTGAAGCCGTTTGTTTGCGCCGTTAAAACCAACGGACATTTTGGTTTAGTGGTGAAAGATGATCCAAAATCGAACGGTGGGGGAGAGAAGGAGATGAAGAAGGAGAAGATCGGACGGTGGAGGATGGTTGTTGGAGGGCTTGTCGGGTCTGTGACGGTGGGGGTGGTGCTTTTAGGGCTGGTTGTAGCAGCAGCGGTGGTGACGGCGAAGAAGAGGAGGAGAAGGGTAAAAAGAGAAGAAATGGAGAGAAAAGCTTACGAAGAAGAAGCACTTAGAGTAGTGACAATGGTGGGGCATTCTAGGGCTTTTGTTGCTTCGGCTACAAGGACTTCCCCTGGTTACATGGAACATGAATGTGTTCCTAATTAATTTAATTATATTTTACGTTTTTATTCCGTTTTTGTGGATTTTTGTTAACGTATATTATTTGTGTTTTTCTTTTTTGTAAAATAGGTTTTTTAATTTTATTTTAAAATATATGTTGTTGAGAGTTTTGGAACATTCATAACATAGATTTCGTTGTAGACAAGTCATGCCAATGATGTTATATACTTCCAATTAGAACTAAGGCATTGATAAACATGATCTTTATATAATTTATGTTTACATTTACGTACGTAAAATGAGACCTAAAAAGAATTATAATTCTTGATGAAAATCTACCTCTACTACTCTAATTAATGATAATTTTCATACGACACACGTAAACAATTACGAAAACATTTGCACAAGTGTTTGGGCTGTGAGACTTGTACCCATTGAGATCATGTATATATATATTATGTCCAAACACAAAATATCATTTGGCCCATACATAAAATCACTAGAACTGAAGAATCGATCGTGTAAGTAATAGTGTCTCATTGGTTCTTTTGATTAATGGTCGCAATATTATGATTATAAAGTTGATGAGAAGTAGTTGTCAAGTAGGAAAAAGCTAAGGACCACAGAAACTGTTTCAGATGTGAGATGTCTTTAATCTTAGGCTTAAGAGAACGACAATTCTGTCCAATTCTTTTGTTTCGACCAACTCTGTCTATGTCCCTCTTTTTATTTTTGTTTCTTTCATTTTTTTTCTATACAAACGAATATTTTATTTTATTTCATAGCGTAAAACAAAAGGGAATTTGTAACACAAAAAAGGGGAGAAATGAATATTATTTTTCTTTCCTTATTGGTGAAGGTGTGTATGTATAATTCTCTTTTTTTATTTTTAATACATAATTTTTTTTAATTGATTCTTTGTTTAACCCATAAATCTAGCTAGTGCTATTACTTTATTTTAAAAGTAGCAATTAAATATAAAAAAATTAAGAATGTATATTTTAAATGATTAAGTGTCCATATATTTTTTTTTTGTTAAATTTTTAGAAGTTATTATTTGGATAGAACAACATTGCGGATATTTAAGACCATCATTATTGATTAGTTGTTAAGAAAGTCTTAAAAAAAGAAATTTTTTTTATTAGCTTAAAATTTTCTTAAGAACTCATTAATAATGATGGTCTAAATGTCGTATATTTTTTTTTTTTTTTTTTTTTTTTGGTCATAAGTATATTTTTCTGTTTAAAATGATCAGTTTTAAAAAATAGATTATATTTGGAATTCAGTCTGGTTGTATCTATATATTGTATCGTTGCCTTGACCAAATATATCACCAAACAAGTTCTTTCAATACGTAATTTTCATACCATTTTTTTTTCTTTTTCAAAGAGCGTTTTACATATCGTAGTTTGTGTTGACGGTTCTATCTTTCTAGTTAAAATTTAAATTATATAGGATTTAATTTTATTAACTAAATTAATTAAATAAAATAGAAATTCACAGTACCGATTGCATAGGAATCTCCAAAATCTTTTTACACCACTTTCCCAAATCCCAAGTGAGTGATGGACCAAAAAGAAATAAAAATAAAAGTGATTACCAAAAGGAAAGAAAAAAAAAATCAAACAAATTGCCTTTTCTTTGGTAGGTCCGAAAAATGAAAATAAGATAAAACAGTCTTTAATATTTTCCCACTGAATTTGAAATTAGTACATTTCAATGAACGTTCATTAGTGTAACATCATATATGCAATTTCATTTTGCTCTAAATTTGCAGACTTATAATAATCATTCATACTCGTATGCTGGAAAAGAAAACACACCAAAATTTATTGAAAAATTTAAGAATGGAAAGAAAAAAGAATAATCCAAATTTTCTTCTTTTTCTTTGGTGAAAAAATTTAGTCAATATTTCACCCACCAAGCAAAAAACACACACATGAATATGTATATGTTTATTATTGTTTACTTTTCCCACTTATTGGAGAATAGTATCATTGAGTTTCGTTTGCCGTCCAAAAAAAAAAGGATCCTTTTAATTTATTCATTCCAATAGGTATCTTCAATCTCATACCACACTCGATCGATAAAACGAAATTAGAAAACTGCTATCTATGTTTGGTTCCACAATATATGGTGATATATACCTTGACGTAAAGTTATGAAAAAGTGCACGTTGGTAATATGCTTTACAAGAAAAAGAAAAAAAAAACATACATACGTGTATAGTATTATGTATATCTACATCAAATGTAAAATGAAAAAAAGACTCTTTTTTTTTTGTCTTGACAATGATTTAAGACCTAATAAGTGATTCAACAACTTGAACTTAAAAATTAGTTGAAAATTTTTGAAAAGAAAATGAGGAAAAAGAAAATATCTTCGCACCTTTAACGACAGGACTGGTAGACACACCTAATCCTCTAAACACCCACTTAACAAAATAGTAACCACCTAATTAATAATACTATTTATTGTTTAAGTATGAAAAATACCATTATCTATTCATTTAAAATATGAAATAATCAATCATGTGATACAGCTTTGATGCACCATTTCTTAGTCACATAACTCAGTTGCAGTCTACTTCTGGATTAAGCTAATTCAATATTGCAGTATTATTTTATATATAAAAATAGGTTTTAAATTTTAATGTGCGTGTGATTAAAACTATAGTGATTTTTAGTTTTGAGTCTTTGACTAACATAGCAAAACAATTATAACGACCACTTGTTTATTATTTTTCTTTCTATATAATTTGATATATTTTATAACAATATCTTACAAAAGAAGAATTAGTTAGTGTTTTTTGTTCAGAATAATGTAAAAAACATAAACTAAAGTATATTTTAGATAGATAGCGTTTGTCTCAACTTTTTAATATATATATTTTAGTGTCACTTAAAGTTCACTATACATTAGAAAACTATACCAAATTATTTTATTTTCTTTGAATTTTTTTATGTATATATAAATAAGACAAAAAAAATAAAGGGGAAAGAAATCAAGATAGCTTTATATACGTTGGTTTCGTCTGATCATTCTCTCTCTCTCTCTCTTTCGTTCTCTAAACATACGAACCAAATCGGCTTCCAAGAATTAGGGTTTTCGGACAAAGAAACATAGTATTTTGTTCAAGAACATGCAAGAAGCGGCGCTAGGTATGATCGGAGGCACCGTAGGTGGAGACGGAGACGCCGTGGCCGCGGCGGAGCAGAATAGACAGATGAAAGGTGAGATAGCTACACATCCGATGTATGAACAGTTACTAGCAGCACACGTGTCGTGTCTTAGAGTAGCTACTCCGATAGATCAGCTTCCGATCATTGAAGCTCAGCTTTCTCAGTCTCATCATCTTCTCCGTTCTTATGCTTCCACCGCCGTTGGATACTCACACCATGATCGTCACGAGCTCGACAATTTCTTGGTACGTTTTTGGAATATAGTTTAATTTAACTTGTTTCTATAATTTTCATCATTTATGGTTTGATATAACTTATTATGTTTTCTTTTGAAAGTCGTTTTTGTTGATTTTTATTTTACTAAATGAAGCTATGATTACTATAAGTCTATAACCAATCTTGTTAAGTTTCAAACAAATTATGCTTTTCAATAATTTTCGGATTTTTTTTTTTAAACAAGATCATAGTGAATTTAAAAAAAATGTAAAACCTTATCATTATATTTCAATTATTTAAGTGGCTTTTTTTTTACCATATTTTTGTGAATATTAAAGATTACATGGAAAATAAAATAAAAAAAAAAAAAAAAGATTACATGGAAATTTAGGTATCTTCATACAATTTCCAAATTTATTGTACACACATAAATATTTCTGTAAAATATAGCTTTGTGTAAATGTATATAGTTAGGTGCTAAATTTTCAAGTCATTGTTAAATGTTAATAATTATATTGAAAATTCTATTTAATCTTAGACTAATCATGTTGGTTGAAGTCGGCGATTGATTTCTTTCTACTCCAAACGAAATTTTGCAATTTGCAGTAAAGTCGAAATTGATATTGCAACTACAATTTTGGAATTAGCTTGCGAAATGTCTCATAAAAGATTCTATAAATTAGGTAGAAACTATGACTATATAATTATCCAACCGATCAAAAACACACCACACCAGAAAGCACATATTTATGTGTGTATACACATAAGAGGAAATGTCTACTAAATTTAAATGAACTGAATAATTTTTTAATAAAATGTGAGGGGTCTAAAATATAATAATGATAATAATAATAATTAATTTTGGAGACAGGCACAATATGTAATGGTGTTGTGTAGCTTCAAAGAACAGCTGCAACAGCACGTGAGGGTTCATGCCGTCGAAGCTGTTATGGCTTGCCGTGAAATTGAGAACAACCTTCACTCTCTTACAGGTTCGTTCTTTCTTCTAATACTTTTCGATTTCACTTTTTCTTCATGATAATAATAATATTACCATATATAAACCCTCATAGATGAGTTAGGCATCTAAAGGTTCTTGTTGATCATACCATATATGAAGTTGAACAACTAGTCAACTAGTAAAAACATATTATAAATGTACATAATGTGTTGGGAGATGTGATGATGAAGAATATATTATATGCTCATGCCTCACACAATAAAATACAATATAAGATATGGAGATTTTTGTATGCTTACGTTATAACCTACGAAATATTATCACGTTTTGCGTTAATAATGTTCATGTAAAACTATACTACATTGATGTGGATTGTTGTAATCTAAAGGGCCTTTTGGGCTTGAGTCTACATTTGGGCTTGGGATTGATCCGTGTAGATCTTGTAGTTGGAGTAACGACAACATTATTTGAAACTTTCTCTATTCCCTTCCGTAGGAGCAACGTTAGGAGAAGGGTCCGGTGCAACGATGTCAGAGGACGAGGACGATCTTCAGATGGACTTCTCCTCGGATAACTCGGGAGTTGATTTTAGCGGCAGCCACGATATGACGGGATTTGGCCCGTTGCTACCGACTGAATCGGAAAGATCTCTAATGGAAAGAGTCAGACAAGAACTTAAACTCGAACTCAAACAGGTAAAAACCATAATGTTAGTTACAAAAATATATCATACATTATCTATAGTACGATTTATTTTTCTTGTAATGACATTTTATTTTGTGGATAAGGGTTTTAAATCGAGAATCGAAGATGTAAGAGAAGAGATAATGAGGAAAAGAAGGGCTGGGAAATTGCCAGGAGACACGACCACTGTCTTGAAAAATTGGTGGCAACAACATTGCAAGTGGCCTTACCCTACTGTGAGTACTATAACACATGAAACAACAAACTATACAGTTAATGTAATTAACAAGAAAATTGTAATGTACTAAAAGAAGAACATGTGATTGTTGAAACAGGAAGATGACAAGGCAAAACTGGTGGAGGAGACAGGACTGCAGTTGAAGCAAATCAACAATTGGTTCATTAACCAACGAAAGAGGAATTGGCACAACAACTCTCACTCACTCACTTCCTTGAAGTCCAAGCGCAAACACTAATCTCTTCTTTACTAATTAGTAATTACCTATACATCTTCATACTAATTACATTGCTTAATCATGCATGAGTATATATACGTATGTAATTCATGTTATTGTGATAATAACGAGGTGTGTAATCATTGATATCTTGTACTTTACTTAGCTTTTATTCAAATCCCCCAACGACCATACGTTTTGTGCTTTGAATGATTGATAGCTTATATTTTCATGTTAGTAATATCCATATATTTTGGACATTGTTTTGTTTTGTTTTTAGATTAAAGTATTGGTAATCAAAGTCTCAACAACTCAACAACGGATACTTTATAATTTATTTATTTGATATTACCATGTGATTTGCGTGACCTAATATTTCCAAATCATTTTAAACTCTTTAACAAAAATAATAGCTTATGAATCAAACCCTCCCAACCACCATACGATTTGTTCTTTGAGTGATTACAGTTTGTTAGTAATATACTAATGTCCATATATTTTGGACCGATATGTGAACAAAGTCGTCCATAAGAAAATGTAACATTTGATTTTAGTGTAAAATGATTGGTATTCAAAGTTCTCAAAAAACTTAACAACGGATACACTATATAGTTCTTTATTTGATTATTATCATGTGATTTGCGTGGCTTAATATTTTCAAATGATTTATAAACCCTTTCTTGGCATGTCGGCAAAATCAAATGATTTTACAAACACAATTGTCCCAAGAAAAATATGTATATTAAGGAATATTATTCACTAAAAAAAGTATAAAAAAGCTCTCGAGATTGAGAAATATTTAGATCTTAGAAAAGTCACTACATATGCCCCCATCACTTGTCCACTACGATTCAGACAGAAGATCCGATCTGGTTATAATAGTATATTAGTAATACATAACGTCCTGGCAATACCCAAATGCATCATTAATCTCATACTATAAAGTTTAAATGGTTGACAAAAACTTTTTACTGACTATAATTAATTGAATGAATTTTAGGTAATATATATGTTTTCAACAAAGTGTTTTGTAAGAGTCTTTTTATGTGGTTGATATATCAATGTTTGTGTATAAATCTAGATCTTTGGTTACTCACTTAAACCTCATTAGAATGTCAAATCAATTACAATGATATAGAAACTTCTCATTTATATATCAACCACCATATTTAGTACTGTTTTTTTTTTGTTAATATAATAACAAATTTAACATACATTTCGATTAGACAAATATAGTACCAAATATGGGATTATTGTAAAGGAGAAGTCATTATTTAGTAATATAATAAAATAATGATATAGAGATTTCTCATTTACATTTACATTAATCCTATATTTAGTATTATTTTTAATAATCGAAATGTATCTAAATTTGTTCAAACAATGCTATATATCACAGAAGTTAGTGAGTAAAATATTGAAAATTCTATATATTGCTAAGTTGGCATTTTAATTTGTTCTCTCATATAATATTGTACATATAATTTTTAAAGTTAACTAATAACGTAATAATATTCTGAATTGTAAATTAATTAATTAGTTAGATTCTTTTTAATTTAGATTGTAATAAGATTAAATTAAATTAAATTCAGACCTCAAATGTAGTGATAGTGGAATCTATTTTTGTGTTAATTAACAATTGGGCTTTTATCATACTCCACCGCCATGACAGATCTCTGTCTAAAATTCGGACAACGATTAACTATTTTTTAAAACACAGATTACTACTAAGTACTAACAATAGTTTAAGGTAAATTGTAATCCACTACCTCAAGACTAGGAAAACTACTTCTACGCCCCCATATTTATGAAGGAAGTAATAACACATCCAAAAATTAGAAAACCCAAAATCAAAATATTAACTAAATATTGGTTGTATATTTGTTCGACTTAGTCTAATATTAAAACAAATAATTTGACACATAAAATATGTACCGAACCATTTTTGAATTTATATATAATGTATATTCCTCAAAATTGGTTAATCTAAGTCAATCAATTAAAGTTATTGACAAAAAAAATTGTTTAAAATTATTTTTGCCTAAAGTTTATGGTAATTTATTTTTTCTTTTTGGTATGCTATGATTTATAAAAACTATTATATATATATATATATGGAATAGCAATAACACCATAAGTGTTACTATTGAAATTCGAAAACTAAAACTAAGATATTTTCTGAAAATTTTAAAAATATAATTTGGATGGTATTACTAATTTGCTGTGATATAATTTGCTACGAAGATATTTCACTAAAGTTAATATAACAAATGACATAAAAATTAGTCAAATAGAGTGACATTTAAAAACAAAATATTTATAGATACTCACATTTACTTTTCCACTAATACATACAGTTTTGTTTAGCCAAATTTTCTCATTATATTTTTTGGTAATTAAAACCTAAAATTAACAATTTCCTAAAAATGTTTATAAATCTCTCTCTAGGAGGGTCATAAATCTCAAAAAAGAAAACATGGGTGGTTAAAAGTAAAACACTAAAAAGTTTCATTGTCTCCCCGAAAATTTGGGATAAAACGAAGCTTCACCGATCCCACACACAACAAAACGTCTCTATTTCTCTTCTTCCCTTCAGATCCACACACTCCTCCTCCTCCTCTCTTATATCTCCGGCGATTATTTTCCGATCACCGACAAAAAAAAAACATGGTTGTAGCAGACGCAAACGGTTCTTCAACCTCATTCAACTTCCTAATCTACGGTCGAACTGGATGGATCGGTGGTTTACTCGGTAAGCTCTGCGAATCTCAAGGCATCTCTTACACTTACGGCTCCGGTCGTCTCCAAGATCGTCAATCGATCGTCGCCGACATCGAATCGGTGAAACCTAGCCACGTGTTCAACGCCGCTGGAGTCACCGGTCGTCCTAATGTTGATTGGTGCGAATCTCACAAAGTCGAGACGATTCGTACGAATGTCGCCGGAACCCTAACTCTCGCCGATATTTGCAGAGAGAAGGGACTTGTTCTGATCAATTACGCTACGGGTTGTATATTTGAGTATGATTCGGGTCATCCTCTCGGGTCGGGTATTGGATTCAAGGAAGAGGATACTCCTAACTTCACTGGATCTTTCTACTCTCAAACCAAAGCTATGGTGAGACTTGAGACTTGAGATTCAGATTCTTTTTTCACATTTTCAATCCTTTTATTTTGGTTTTACTTCAGATTCGATCCGTTTCTTTGTTTAATTCTCTGATTCAACCCACAAAATCTGAGATTTTAGCTGATTTTGTCTTTGGAAATGGTTAGATTAGATTTTGTTAGAGCTTCGTTGACATGGAATGTTCAAGATTTGTGCTAATTTAGTTCTGATTCGTGTTGATTGTTTAGATCTTAGATCCTAAATTAGCTCTGAGAATGTTGCATAGATGAAATGTAGATTAGCTCAATGTTCTTGAGATGATCAATAAGCTCGTTTTATTGACTAGTTGAATCTGGTTATGTAAATATAGGTGGAGGAGCTGCTCAAGAACTATGAAAATGTATGCACGCTAAGAGTGCGTATGCCCATCTCTTCGGATTTAACAAACCCGAGAAACTTCATCACGAAGATTGCTCGGTATGAGAAAGTTGTGGACATCCCTAACTCGATGACAATCCTCGACGAGCTCCTCCCGATATCGATCGAAATGGCAAAGAGGAACTTGACCGGGATCTACAATTTCACTAATCCAGGGGTTGTGAGTCACAACGAGATCTTGGAGATGTACAGAGACTACATTGACCCGAGCTTTACTTGGAAGAACTTCACATTGGAGGAACAAGCTAAAGTGATTGTGGCTCCAAGGAGTAACAACGAGCTCGATGCCACTAAGTTGAAGACTGAGTTCCCTGAGTTGATGTCTATCAAGGAATCTCTGATCAAGTTCGTGTTTGAGCCGAACAAGAAGACTGAAGTTAAAGCTTAAATGCTGTAAAAGGGTTTTTGTAAGGTAAACAGTTCAAAACCCCCCAACATATAAAAAAGAAAATCAAAAATCAAAAGTCAAAAAATCAAAAACATTTGGGTTTTTAAAAGAAGTATCTTTTTTTTGGGGTTTATGGGCTGAAAAAAATTGTTGTGTTTTTTGTATTTTTATTATTGTTTTCTTCTTCCCAATGTTGTTGTATTGTTAAAATAAACCTTTTTCATTACAAATAAAATTGTACTATTTTGAGGATTTTGCGTTATTTCCTCTGTTTTTAATCTCTTGTTGATTAATTATCTCAATTATCATCTTTTTCCTATGGGTAAGTAAAATTGGTTATTGAGTATATATGCTAGTTGCATGCGAAAATGTCGTATCAACGTATTAAACATTGTTGGTACTTATAACTTATAAAACACTCAAAAAAATTAAACTAAAAAAAAAAGATTACTGTTTATAAGAAAGACCACACAGTATTATTCGAAGATATAATGACAATATCACATTCTTTAATATTTTCCCACACATGTATGCACGTTAGGAGATTACTGTTCCCACACATGACAATATCACATTCTTCAATATTTGAAGTTCTTTCTCTTGTACCAGATTTTTGACGTCAAACTTATATCTTTCATTGCTGCGAATACACATATGCTGCAACAATATATATAGTTTGTGCATGATACATCCACCATATTATTGTCTTTGCACCAACCCAATTTGCATTGCTATGATAAGAGCCTGCAAATATATTCACCCGAGGAAATAGAGTTTGTGTTTGGATGCTATCTAGTATGTACATCAATGTCAGTTTCTTATGACTTACACTAAATGGCGACATAATTTCACAAATCTTATAAGACAAATATCAAAGTCTCAGTTATGAAAATATGACAAGCAGAAACGAATGCAATGACCGATAAAAGATAATTTCTTATAGGAAATTATTGGAAAAACTTCTAAATGTTTAGTTTTAGACCATTAGCTAATTCCATATTTAATTTAATGGTCTCTAATCTCTATCTAGGGTTACTACAATATTTGTTCTCTCTCGAACATATAACATTGTACTCTAAGATCTAGATTGATTAACACTATTTGTTCAATTCGATATGAACTATTATGAAGTTATAAATCATTATAAAAAACCAAACAAAATAAAATAAAATAAAATAATAAGAAAAGAAGAAGAGAAGAGAGATTACCTTTGGTTACTACTCTTCTTCCATGTGCTAAATTAAGCAGAACCAGTTTCAGGGCAACTCTCCTTTGGCAGGTCATCTACGTACATCGATCTTGGAAAAGTTTCGATGCACATATATGTGGAAAAGGACCTGCCAATAGAGAAGTGCCCTAGAACTAGTGAGCTTACGTACATGTTTCTTCTCTTCATCTCTACAAGATCCATGTAGTCGTGTGTGTGTTATATATACGTGTGAGCACATATACATATAGTAGTTAAATATAGATAAGGAATTTTCGACAACGAATATCGGATTTTTCCATGATGTCTCTTTAGATAAGCTGGAAATTTATTTTTGCAGCTTTTTTTGTTTCTTTCTATCAGAACACATGAGGTGAGAATATAAAGATATGGAATGTGAGAAAATTAGTAATTATACTGTAAATTTAATATTTGAAAGGTGCAATGAATCCAGTTTCATTGGTTTTTTAAATTTTTAGTTATTCGGTCTAGTTTGATACAATTTTGGTTTCAGTTTAGATTCTGTATTTGGCCAAGATTTATTTAAAGGTGAAATTATACATTTTAGGTTTGGTTTGATTTTTTGTTAACGTTTTGTTATGAACTGTATAATTTTATAAAAATACATATAAATTCCGAAATAGGTTTATAATTTTTTGGTTTGATTTTGTAATTCTAACACAATGAAACTATATAAATTAGCAAAGATTAAATTCCAAAGTGTTGAAAGAAAGAAATGATTTCATTCTCTCAATGCAATAATGAAATATGGTATAGATGTTGTGCCATATAGACCAATATGTATATAGGATATGCCGTTGGATATTCTTTAGTTGTGCCATGCATGGTTACTTTATAATGAACAAGAATAGCTTTTCAGACCAAAATAAAACTACTTCTAGAAATTGAAAAACTAAATTAAAATTTCGAATAATAGTCTTGTTACTTTTATAGAGTCTAAAGTTCATAGAAAGAAAATAGAGGACGAATATATTTGTTTTCCCACGTTATGAGAACGTTGTTTTCCCTTATATAATTGAAAACTATTAAACTGATTAACAAAAAGTTTTCACGAAGTTAGAAATAATAGAAAGACATAACATAGTGATCTTATGTCTCGATCGACTAGCTCAGAGTTTTGCAGTTCACTAATGTTACGAAATAAGATAATCATTATATTATACGTACATTTTACCACTACACCATGAACCAACCATGCATAAAAGATATTCCAAATAATTGTATAGAAAACGCATATATCAAAGTTTTGTTTTATAAATTATGGTTTAGTTACAAATGTAAACGATGGATGGAGGATTCTCCATTATTAGCAGGACATGCATGGAACAATCCTCTTTCATATTCCAGTTTTGTTCTCCATCTATATTGATTCAATTGTTTTCGTCCGTGGACCGCTAGACATATATACCATATAATATATTGCTCAAGTATTATGTTAGCAATGAGCTAGTTAAGGTCGGAATGTGAATTTCATCAAACTCATGTTAAGATGGATAAGAACAAGAGATAGAAAGATCCATTACAGAAGAATAAACTTGGGTTAAGAAATCAAAAACAAAATTCATTACAAGTAATTCAGATCAAAAATCTCACAATACTGGAACAAGGTTTCTACCAAACAGAGGATTAGGTATATATATATACGCGTAGACATACTATTAAGTATATTAACACATATACAGCCATGTGAATTGGAACATTAGTGACAACAAAAATAATCAAATAAAAGAGAGGATGATCATACACACTGTTTCTTTTTTTTTTTTATTCTATTTTGAAAAATTGGTGGCAAAACTCCAAAATCAATAGAGAGAGTTATAAGTACAACAAGTAGCAACAATGGAGCCAATGCAGATGACAAGTGATGGTAGAAGAGTGGCATTCAAGAGATGGCCTCTTCCCAAGTATCCTCCCAATGTTATGGTTACATCCGCCACAACTCGAGCCAAAGTTCCAGCTTCTGTCGACAGCAACCCTCCGTTGTATGTTCCTTTCGATAGCCTCGATGACATTACTCGCGATAACAACGACAGATTCACACCTAAAGAACCAGAAAAGTCATTAGGAGTCTGTTGGTTCTTTGAAAACAGAAAGCAGAGGTTTGTTTAGTTATACCTTCGAGTACTTCAGCAGCCACGAACATAACGAGACCAGAGACTACATATTGTGGTACAGTGTATGGAACAAACAGATTGAAACTGAAGAGAATCCCGATGAAGACGATGATCTCAGATGTTAAAAGGATTTGCCTGTGAGAGAGACATTGCAAATCATCACACCAAAGTAACCATCAAAGTTTTGGATTCGTCGAAAAGTTTCAGTAGGAATTCAATCATTAGGTATATAAAACAGGATCAAGCTTTTTAGATCGAAGAATTATGTATTTGGTTTGGTTTGAGCTTGGGATCCAAGATTACCTGTCTTCAAACATATTACTGATGTAACTTCCGACCAAAATGTTGATTGGCAACACCGTTAGGCCAAGGCAGGCTAGGAAGATGGCAACAGAGCTTGTTGACCAACTAAAGTAGTATGAAGTAATGACACTAGATTCTGACAGTAATATTTCCATTGCGTACTTGAGCATGAAGTAGATCAACAGTTGAACCTGACCACCAAAACCACACGACAAAGATTTCAGTCAGATAAACTTTTAAGATTCCGAGAATTCTTCTATCGGGAATCATGTCTATCAAAATTATGTATTTTTTTCTCGATGTTGACGAAAACTGATGATGGTACCTTAACAGATGGAGTAAGAAGTTGGTATGCTGATCTGAAAGAATTTGCAGGTTTGTGAGAATCTTCTTGAGATTCTTCACTTTCATTGCAGTCCTCTTCATCCTCTGGCTTGATTCCTGAAGTAATCAGCAAGGGCTTTTGAAGACCTTCCTCGACTCTGCTACTTTCAACTCTGTCTGTCACTGCATCAACCAAGTATCCAATTAAAACTCGTTAATTATTGTTACAATAAAAACAGCTTTTACTATCAATAATCTTCAAAAGCAGATTACTTGATGTTGTTTCATTTGGATTGGTTTTTTCTTCTTCCTCTGTGTCGCGCAACGGCTCTCTGAATGATATGCATAGCCATACCAAATAGAATAGCCAAGCCACAGCCATAACCCACCCAGGCAAAGTAGACTGATTAAATGTAAACTTGTAGAACTTGAATTTTATTTGGAGTAAACCGGCAAGCGCAGGACCACAAGCCATTCCAAGAGCACTAGCACTCACAAAACCTGCCGATGCCTGCATTCGGATTCTTAAAGGCACACAATCACTGATATATCTCCGGTTCACAGCTCTTGCTGATCCCAACCTGGAAAAATTACAGGGTTAAAATTAGTCGTAGAAAAGGTTTACTCTTTACGCGATTCATAGGAAAATGTTTAACTTGTAACTTACCCACAAAAGACACGGCCGAGTAAGAGAAGCGCTATAGAATTGGCATCATAAGCCAATGCATACATTAAGTTTCCAATAAAGAGCATGATGCTGCTAAACACAAGAGGTTTGAAGTAAGATTTGTTGGACCACGCGCTGAAATAAACTGATGAGAATACTTGAGCAATAGCCATTGATCCAATGACAACACCGCAAACCGTTGCTGCTGCCCCAAGGCTCATCGAATAGTCATCTGCTGTAGGGACGATGATATAAGTGTTGACCATGTACAAAAATGTATTTCCTAGATTCAGGAGTAACGAATTAAAATGGTAAGTCCGCTCATCGAATGTTTCCTCTGAAGGAGTCACCAATTCATCTTGCATGATGAGAGCATGTTGTGCCAAGAAGTTAAGAAAATTTGTCGAGTGCGT